AAATGTGGGCCATTATCACTGTATAGGGTTTTTGGTATTCCATGAACTGGGATAATATGCTTGCATATAGCCTTTGCTACTGTTAGTGCATCTGCTTTTTTAGATGGAACGATTTCAACCCATTTAGAGAACGCATCAATCATTACCAGACAGTATTTATATGGACCGCTTTGTGTTAGTTCAATAAAATCCATGTGCATTGTTTGAAAAGGATAGGCGGGTTTTGGGAATGAGCCCCTTTTGGGTCTGATGTTTCCTTGTGGGTTATGGTTTATACAGAGTGGATATGCTTTACAAAAATTTTTGTAAGTAAGACGTTATTCCATAAGTGGTGAAATGTTCCTGTATTATAGTCTGCATCCCTTCTGTTGACACATGGCAAGGACCATGTGTCAAAATTGTTGCTGCTTTAAAAAGAGATTTTGGTAAAACTGGTTTGTTTTGTACTTTATAAATACCTTTATTTAAATTAGCTCCTTTTATGATTCACATCCACTTGGTGCCTGTGTGTTGGGGTTCACCCCAGTAAATGAGAGGGTGGCCTCCCTCCGCTTACGTGTGGGGGGACGGGTTCTGACTCATTTGTGCTTATGCACCAAACGGCAGTTCAGATAATCCGCCCTTTTTGGAGTCCTTAGAGGGGGTACTGGAAAGTGCACCTCCTGGGGACTCCCATGTCCTGCTAGGGGACTTCAATGCTCACGTGGGCAGTGAGACCTGGAGGGGTGTGGTTGATCTGAACCCGAGTGGTGTTCTGTTGTTGGACTTTCGTTCTCGTCATGGGTTGTCCATAACGAAGTTCAAGCATAAGGGTATCCATATGTGCTCTTGGCACCAGGACACCCTAGGCTGCGGTTCGATGATTGACTTTGTCATCGTCTCATCTGATCTGCGGCCACATGTCTTGGACACTCGGGTGAAGAGCGGGGCGGAGCTGTCCACTGATCACTACCTGGTGGTGAGTTGGCTCTGAGGGTAGGGGAGGATGCCGGTCAGACCTGGCAGACCCAAACATATTGTGAGAGTTTGCTGGGAACATCTATCAGAGTCTCTTGTGAGACGGAGCTTTAACTCCCACCTCTGGGAGAACTTCGAACATGTTCCGGGGAGGTGGGGGACATTGAGTTCGAGTGGGCCTTGTTCCGTGCCTCTATTGTCGAGGCTGCTTACCGGAGCTGCGGCCGCAACGTTGTCGGTGCCTGTCGCAGCGGTAACCCTCGAACCCAATGGTGGACACCGTCGGTGAGGGATGCTGTCAGGCTGAAGAAGGAGTCCTATTGGGTCTTTTTGGCCTGTGGGACCCCGGAAGCAGCTGATGGGTACCGGCAGTCCAAGCGACATGCGGCTTGGGTAGTCGCCGAGGCAAAAAACTCGGGCATGGGAGGAGTTCGGAGAGGCCATGGAGAATGACTTCCGCACAGCTTCGAGGCGATTCTGGTCCACCGTCCGGCGTCTCGGGGGGGGGGGGGGGGGAGCGGTACACCACCAACACTGTTTATAGTAGGGGTGGTATGCTGCTGACCTCCACTCGGGATGTCGTGGGTCTGTGGGCAGAATACTTTGAAGACCTCCTCAATCCCACCGGCACGTCTTCCACTGAAGAAGCAGAGCCTGGGGACTTTGGGTTGGGCCCTCCAATCTCTAGTACTGAGGTCACCGAGGTGGTTAAAAAAACTCCTCGGTGGCAGCGCCCCAGGGGTGGATGAGATTCGCCTGGAGTTCCTTAAGGCTCTGGATGTTGTAGGATTGTGTTGGCTTATGCGACTCTGCAATATTGCGTGGACATTGGGGGAAGTTCCCCTGGATTGGCAGACCGGGGTGGTGGTTCCCCTATTCAAAAAGGGGGACCGTAGAGTGTGTTCCAACTATAGGGGGATCACGCTCTTAAGCCTTCTTGGAAAGGTCTATTCGGGGGTTCTGGAGAGGAGGGTCCGTCGGATAGTCGAATCTTAGATTCAGGAGGAGCAGTGCAGTTTTCCTCCTGGTCGTGGAACACTGGACCAGCTCTACACTTTCAGCAGGGTCTTGGAGGGTGTGTGGGAGTTTGCCCAACCGGTCTACATGTGCTTTGTGGACTTGGAGAAGGCATTCAACCGCGTCCCTTAGGGAACCCTGTGGGAGGTACTCTGGGAGTATGGGGTACTGGACCCTTTGATATGAGCTGTTAGGTCCCTGTATGACCGGTGTCAGATCCTAGGTCACATTGCCGGCAGTAAGTCGGGCTTGTTCCCGGTGCGAGTTGGACTCCGCCAAGGTTGCCCTTTGTCACAATTCCGTTCATAACTTTTATGGACAGAATTTCTAGGTGCAGCCAAGGTGTTGAGGGGATCCGTTTTGGTGGCCTTAGGATTGCGTCTCTCCTTTTTGCAGATGATATGGTCCTATTGGCTTCATCAGATCGTGATCTACAACTTTCACTAAAGCAGTTCACAGCCGAGTGCGACACGGCCAGGATGAGGATCAGTTCCTCCAAATCCGAGGCCATGGTCTTGAGCCGGAAAAGGGTAGAGTGCCCTCTCCGGGTCAGGGAGGAGGTCCTGCCCCAAGTGGATGAGTTCAAGTGTAGATGAACAGATGCTGGGATATATTCATCATTTAACGCGAGTTCCTCATTTTTCTGGACTGAATAAAACGTGCATTGAATTTAAGGAAATGCAAACGTGAGACGTCATTTAAATTTGACCCATCAAAATGAATGCGGTCATTTATTTACAGAATCAAATTTAACATCAAACATTTACATTAATTTGGCAAATTATGAAAATAACAACAAAGCAATCAATCAGGAAAAATCATACGGCCATGATTTCTCCGTTGCTGCACCAACAGACATTTATAACTGTACAACTATGATCTTTTACCCACATGAATGTGGGTAAGCACTTTACACAGACATTTCTAAATATCTGGGAGAATTTCTACTTGATAGAAAAGTTTAAGATGAAAGATGAAGTTTAAAGGGGAGAAAGATGGTGTTTGAGGTAGAGTGTTGAACAGAACGGCACTCTCCGGGCTTTCTTCAGCTTTTCCTCACAGTACACTTAGGTGGTGAAAACGACTCTTTTACCTGGAGATGTCTCAGGCGAGATTCCGTTTAACGCACCCTTTCAGCGTCTCCGTAGGATGCTGTTACTCGTCCGGAGTAGCGGCGAGATTCTGTCCGCCACAGCTCACCTCAGTGGAAATGTTATAATCCCATGAAACTCGGAAGAGCTTCGTTGTCATGTCAGGAACTCCAACAGCACTCCATCAGAACTTTAGCTCTCGTGTAGTTTACAGAACTCCCACAGAACTCTTGAAGTCTGACAACTCTCCAACTCTGTAACTCCGTGAGTCTCTGAGTCTCTGTGAGTCTCTGTGAGTCCGTCTGCATACCTGTGAGTCTGTGTAGACCAGGAAGTACTGACATTTTAAAGACTCTTTCCCGGTTCACTTTTTGGGATTTTTCATTGGTCAGAAACGACCAGAAGGGGTGTGTTTTTGTGACGTAAGAGGTTAGAGACAGCGAGAATTGTTATGAGACAGCTCAGAAATGTTCTCACAGACCGAGAGGGTTCTGTTTTGGCGTGCCTTAAGAAACAGGTGCAAAACATCTCTATTTACGTCTGAGAGGATTCTAAAACATGACAGTTTTAACATAACAACTTGTTTTTCGTTTGACTGTAACCTTGTAAACGCACACACTTGCTCATTCAAAAGCAGAAATCAGAAAAATGCATAATTACTCTGCACAGCTTTTAACATGAGAATAAAATCATTACTCAGTTAATAAAATTGATTAGTTCACTGCAACATCTAAAATGGTTTGAACTAAGACACTTTGATTATCAACATTTGTAAGATAGTAATGATAATAAAAAGAGAGTGTTCTTTTCACTTGAATCTTCAAGAAAGAAAGTCTCAGGATGGGTGAACCTGTATTTATGGAGTCAAATACATGAAATGACAGCTTCTGTCCCACAAGGTTCTAAAGGTCAAGAGTTTTGACCTTAGACTGGGTTTCGACGTAGGCTTAGTCCACTACACAAGTGTTACGGTTTTATCCATATCTGACCCCAGATGGCAGAACCAAAAAAGGAAAACAGGTACAGCGTTTATCAAAAATAATCTGTGTTTATTTTCTCAGGAAAAGGGGAGTTGGGTGGTAGTTTCTTGTAACAGGATCTTTGGAGGAGCACACTGTGAATTCCTGGTTCCTGAAGAGTCAGCCACAGGATGAGAAGGTGAGTTCCTTTTTGTTGAGGAGTTTGTTTGTTGTGGGAGCAGAGAGAGCAAGAGCAGGCTGGAGGTCGTTGACTGGTAGTTGAGGCCTAGGAAGGTTTGTTTGAAGCAGGACGTGGAAGTCACGTTACCGTTCTAAGGTAATGTCCCAGCACTGGAGGAGAGTCTGGCAGCAGCTTAAGTAGTCTGGCAGA